GATCTTCAAATTCATGTAGAAATTTCAGAGACATGGAGAATCTAACACAATCTTGAAACATAAGAATAAAATTGGACAACTGATGTTCCCCAATTCAAAACTTACTGCAAAAGTACAGTGACCAAGGAAATGCAATACTGACACTAAGACATACAGATAAATAAAATAAAACTGAGAGTCCATAAATAAACCCACAAATTTATCACCCATGTATTTCCATCAAAGGTGCAATAACAATTCAATGGGGGAAAGAGAAGTCATTTGATGAAGGGTATCTCTACATTAAAAGAACTGATTTAGATCTTTACTATACAATGTAAACAAATATATTCAAACTTAAAAGGACCCCTGACCCATTGTTCAGAGTTAATGTAATAAAACTCTTAGAATAAAATACAGGAGTAAATTTTCATGGTTTTGTAGATTTAGGCAATGGTTTCTTAGTTGATTTCTTTGTTATACTCCCTTTAGAAGCAAAAGCAACAAAAGAAAAAAGATAGAAATTGGATAAAATTGAAAACCTTTGTTTTCAAAACCAAGAAAGAATAAAGAAGACCAGTGGAAAAGAGTCCTCAAGTGGTAGAACACCTGTCTAGCGATAAGAAGGCTCTAAATTCAAACTCCAGTACTACCCAATAATAATAATTTTTTGTAGTACAGTAGAGATATTATAGATTATAAGTATTTAATTCTAGATAAAGAAAAAACAATCCTCAGAAAACATAAATTCAGATAATTTTAACAAATATTAGAGAACTTCAGATACATGAAAAATGTAAACTTATAAAAACAAAAGTCATATTGGGAGAATATACTTAGAATACAACAGAAGTAAACAAAAATTGCCCAAATATGAGGAGCTCTACAAAATCATATGTAAAACAATAAAATTGGCAAAGAACAATAGACACATGAAGAAATGCTCAACCTCCCTAGCCATAAAAGAAATGCAAATCAAAACAACATTGAGATCCCACCTCACCCAAGGTAGGATGGCTATAATCAAGAACTCTAATAACAACAGATGCTGAAAGGAATGTGGACAGAAGGGAACCTTACTGCATTGTTGGTGGGAGTGTAAACTTGTTCAACCACTTTGGAAAGCAGTATGGAGGTTCCTCAAAAGACTCCACATAGAGCTCCCCTATGACCCAGCAATCCCACTTTTGGGCATTTACCCAAATGATCACAAACAAGACCATACTAAAGTTACCAGCACAACTATGTTTATTGTAGCTTTATTTACCATAGCTAAGATATGGAACCAACTCAGATGCCCCTCAGTAGATGAATGGATCAAGAAAATGTGGTACATATACACAATGGAATTCTCTGCCTCCATCAGAAAGAATGACATTGCCCCATTTGTTAGGAAATGGAAAGACTTGGGAAAAAATATATTAAGTGAAGTAAGCCAGGCCCAAAGAAACATAGTCCCATGGTTTCCCTTACTTGCAATAATTAGTATATGTCTGACTCAAGCAGAAAAGGTCAGATAAGTTGATGTTAGGGAAATGAACCCTAAGATATGTATTCAAATTTTTTTTCTTTCATGCGATTGTTTCTAACACATTTATAAGATTATTTCTTTGTTGCTTTGTGTGTTCCTCCCCCATGGTATAACCCCTGTTTGCACTGTATTTGATGTTGTTATAATTTGTGGAGGGGAAGGAGAAAACAAATTGTTTAACTAGGGATACAGGTGGACCCATTGCAACAATGAGACATACAAGTCGCTATGTTGAAAACGAATTTTCCAACTTTGGTGGGGGGGGGAGGAGGATTGGGGGGTCCGGGGGAGGATGGGAAGGGATGGGAAGGGGAAACAAAGGAGGATGCTACAATGCTTGCTAAGAAATGTACTCATTATCTTGCCCATGTAATTGTAACCCCTCTGTACAGTATTTTCACAAAAAAATAGAGTAAATAAAAAAATAAAATTGGCAAAGAATACAATCAGGTAATCCACGTTAGGATGCTGAGTGGAATAAGTATATAAAAGTATCAGTAGTGTAAGAATCCTTCACACCCATCCCAAGGGACCATGCAGAGACAAACAGGCACAGGAGAAAGATTATTATAATGTTTGTTAGAGGGGCCATATTTCCCACAAGAGGGAGCACATGGCACCCATCCCTGTCCAAGTAGCAGGAGGGTCTGGGCAGGTAGGTGTGGTGGGCAAGTGGGAAGGAGGGGCCAGCTGTAGGGCCGGAACTCTAGGGCAGGGAGGAGCTCAGGTCTGGGTGGAGCTGAGGGCCAAAGGTGGAGAATAATACTAACAAGTAGTAATAGGGAAATGCCAATAAAAGAGTAGGGTTTGCACCTTAAATATTAATAATTTTAATTAGAGAAAGAAAAGAGAAGCCTCAGATCAAAGAAAATTATTGTGGGTCCTATTTGATAAGGGATTTCCTTCAGAATATATAAAGACTTCATAAAACTCAGTAAAAAAAGAAAAAATGAAAATTGGCTAAGTATTTAAATACACTGTTCTCTATTGAATCCAAGAAAGCTCTTTAAAACATTAGCTAATAAGCACGTTGAACAATGTTCAGTACCTTTAGTCATTAAGGAAATGCAGATCAAAACATACTGAGATATAAACCTCACACTCAACAACTGAGTCATATTCAATAATGAACCATAGCAAGAATTGATAAGGATGGGGAAATCAGAACTCTCATACATTGCCAAAGGGAATGTGAAATAGTGAAAATACTTTGGAAAAACATTTAACAATTTCCTCAAAATATTAAATGCTAGGTGGTAGCTTGTGCCTATAATCCTAGCTACTCAGGAGGCTGAGATCTGAGGATCATGGTTCAAAGCCAGCCCTGGGCAGGAAAGTCCATTAGACTCTTATCTCCAATAAGTCCCTCAGAAAATGCGAAGTGGCGCTGTGGCTTAAGTGATAGAGCACTGGCCTTGAACTGAAGAGCAGAGGGACAGTGCCCAGGCCCAGAGTTCAAGCTCCACAACCACCACCACCAACAACAACAAAATTAAATGCTGGTCTACCATACGACACCGAAATGATACTTAATAGTTAAAGTATAATCCCCCTAAAAACATGTGCATTACTGTTCGCAGAAACATTACTCAAAAGTAGACATTATCCAAATTCTCATAAAGAGATGGACAGCTAACCAAAAGGCATACCCAACAACTGAATACTACTTGGAAATAAGGAATGATATATTAACATTTTATGACACGGATGGCCCTTGAAAACACTATGCTAGGAATTCTATGCCTCCATCAGAAAGAATGACATTGCCCCATTTGTTAGGAAATGGAAAAACTTGGAAAAAATTATATTAAGTGAAGTAAGCCAGGCCCAAAGAAACATAGGTCCCGTGGTTTCCCTTATTTGCAATATCTAGTATATGTATGAGTCAAGCGGAAAAGGTCAGATAATGTGATGTCAGGAAAATGAACCCTTAGATATGTATGTTAATGTTTTTTTCCTTTCATGTATGTGTTTCTAACACAGTTATAAGATTATCTCTTTGTTGCTTTGTATGTCCCTCCCCCACAGTATAACCCCTGCTTTCTCTATATTTGATGTCAGTATAACTTGTGGAGGAGATGGGGAAAAACCAGTTGTTTAAGGATACAGGTGGACCTGTTGCAACAATGAGAAGTACAAGTTGTCATGTCCAAAACGAGCTTTACAACGTCGGTGCGGGGGGGGGGGGGGGGAAGGGGGGGAAAGGGAGAAGGATTGGGGATTGGGGGGGAGGGGGGAGGCTGGGAAGGGATGTGAAGGTACGCATTATCCTGCCCATGTAATTGTAACCCCTCTGTACAGTATGTTCACAAATAAAATTAAATTAAATTAAAAAAAAAGAAAGAAAACACTATGCTAAATGAAAGAAGCCAGTTCTAGAACATATAATTATATTTGTATGAAATCCTCAGAGTAGGGAAGAGGATTAGTGGTTGCCTACGGCTTGTTCATGGAGGAAATGATGAAGGGAATAGGGCATGGCTGAGTGAGAGGGAACAAAGTAGTTTAAAATTAGATTCTAGTGTCATTGGCACAGTGCTATGAATAAACTTGTAGGCACTGAATTAGAAACTTTAGTCAGTGGTGTGGTATAAGAATTATATTTCACTGTCACCTTGTTCGAAAAGAATGTACACATTACCTCACTTAATGTAACTGTAGTCCCACTGTATATCATCTTTACAAAAACAATAAAAATAATGAATTAAAAAGTATATTTCAATAAAGCCATTTAAAATGCATTGTTTAGGGCCATCTTTTCTACAGGATCAAATTCAGCCACTTTTTTTTTTTGTCAGTCTGGGCACTGTCCCTGAGCTCTTTTGCTCAAGCCTAGCACTCTACCACTTTGAGCCACAGCGCCATTTCTGATCTTCCAGTGGTTAATTGGAGATAGGAGTCTCACAGACCTTCATGCCTTGGCTGGCTTCAAACTGTGACCCTCAGATCTCAGCCTCTTAAGTAGCTAGAATTATAGGCATGAGCCACCAGTGTTGGGCTCAGTCATATTTCTTTGAGACAATATTCATTATATTTTTGAGGGAAAGATCATTTGTATCAATATTAGCTTTCTACAAGTTGAATTCTACTGAGTTACAAAAATACCAGATGATAGAAATTCCATCAAAGGAGAACATCTCAATATAATAAATGAACCCCAGAGACTCAGGGGCCCTGCTTGTCACTGAAAAGATAATTACTCGACCATTTCCAAACTTTGGACAAAATTTTCCTTGAAAACCCAAGGGTGTTCTTACCACAGTACTTTGCCAGTTCAATTCTCTTTGCTTCAAACACTCCTGCTGCATATTTTGACACGACTCATTTCATCCTTTTTGTTTTAATCTCTCCTTACCACTTATCCTCTCATAAAAAGAGTTTCCCTGAACATGTGTATTAGTTATCTAACTACTGTTTAACAAATGATCCCCAAATGTTATAGCATGAAACAATCAAGAATGGTTGACTTGAGCCTCGGTGTCAGCCATCTTTCAATTGTGTTCGCAGCCGCCGCCGCGCCAGCGCTGCTCTCCGACACCAGCGCCGCCTCTCGTTCGCCGAGCTCCAACCGAAGGAGAAGGAGGGGTTGAGGCCGCTCAGCCATGGCTCGCACCAAGCGGACCGCCCGCAAGTCCAGGAAGCAGCTGGCAACCAAGGCCGCGCGCAAGAGCGCGCCCTCCACCGGAGGGGTGAAGAAGCCGCCCCGCTACAGGCCTGGTACTCTGGCGCTGTGTGAAATTAGACGCTACCAGAAGTCCACAGAACTTCTGATTCGCAAGCTCCCTTTCCAGCGTCTGGTGCGAGAAATTGCTCAGGACTTCAAAACAGATCTGCGCTTCCAGAGCGCAGTTATTGGTGCTTTGCAGGAGGCAAGTGAGGCCTATCCCGTTGGCCTTTTTGAAGATACCAATCTGTGTGCTATCCATGCCAAACGTGTGACAATTATGCCAAAAGAT